CGATGCCCGGGCTAGATATCGATATGAAGACCTGATGTGGTCATTGCTAGAGCAGTATCTAATGTATTTACAACCTACAACGCACCTCAGAATCCCTGCGGAAACAGGCTCGCCGAGGTCTGGGTCAATGGTAACAAACTTCTCCACCAAGTAATGGCTCCAACGAATAAAAGTACATAGTAAATCACCGTCCATTTTCGACTATCGGCAGGTGCATAGTGTCCACTGACGTGCCAGTAAGGCTCGACAGCCCCCCAGAATCGGGGCAGGCCCATTACATTGCAGAATGCGTGCACCAGCACGATGGCTAGTAGGCTCCCTGAGCGGAGGAAGAGGAATGTGGCATAGGCGCCGAAGAGAGAGGTGTAACTGAACTGCAGAATTGAGCGTGCCACTGCGGCGACCAGAGGCACCTTGGGGTGGGAGATGCGGAACTCATAAAAGTGATGAACATGAGCAAAGCCGAAGATGACGGGAGACAAGAAGACGGTTTGTGTCAATGACATGCGAGCGCAGAGCATCAACGGAACAGAGGCAGAGCGGAACAGCATTTCCTCAGTCAAAGGTCCCTTGGTATCGCATTAGCATCCCTAGAAATGGAGCAAATGATACGTCTGGGGCTTCCTTGATGCAACTTACCATGACAATGTTCCGCCAGGTTGTCAACTGGGTCCAGATACGGACAATGGGGCCAAGACCGTGCCAGTCTTCCCAAAGGCCGTCTATGAGAAGAGTCTCGTACAGCGGACCAGCAAACAGGATTGCCGTAAGGAGAAGGCATAATGCGGACTCGAGTATGCCGATGGGCCAGTATCCCATAGCATGAAGTGGTCCATAAGGTAGGGTACCGTCAGGTAGACGGGCCAGGATGATGTAAGTCAGGGCGGAGCATGATGCAGTAGAGAACAGGACAGATCTGATGCGCGTGCGAATGACGACAGGGTCGTCTCTCGACAGCGTTGGTGATGGACGGCTGGCAGGCGAGATGTAGAGAGGGGCCACGTAGATGGCAGTATAAACAACCTGGGCAGGCGAGTTAGCGATTAAACAAGCACATTGACGGAGGTGGAAGGAAGTGAGAAATCATTCGCCCTACCAGCATCGCGCACGCCGTCAACGGCTGTATGAATGGAGGGGCGGTCCCGGGAAGACTTGTGCCAGACCGCGAGTCGGGGTTATTGGACGAAGTCATGGTGAACACCACCGGCGCGACCGCGTTGCCCGAGATGTCTGTAGTAGTCAGGGGATCAACTCAGCACTTGGCTACCAATCCCCAAGGCATGTCAAGAACGGCTATGAATATACCCTGAGTTGTCTCTTCAACCAGGTATCATGGTAATTACTGGAAGAGGTGAAGTGAGGAAATTACATAATCGTTCGGACATTCCGGTGGAGCATAGATAGGTAGAGCCCGCATACCTTAAGGTATCCGTACTGTAAACGGATATTCGCAGCTGCATCCAGCTGTCAGCGTGTCACATACACAGTACACAGGTACCTGACGAAGTCGAATCTTCTTCGCTTTCAATGACCCCACAACATCCAATGCAGGATCCTGCGCAGCACTTCTGAGTACTTGACACACGACGGGACATGGGGACCTGGAGCGAAATACGCAAGGCACTGAGTACGGATATGAGATCTCACTTTCGACTTTCAAGATGGGAAATGCCCCTGCGTCGTGCTTTCGAATTGGGAAATTGGATGCTGAGCTGTCAGACACCTGCGGACCGTAGTGTCCATGATTCAATTTGTGCCTGCAGACTTTTGTGCAGTAGCGCACTGGTACTACGGATACCTGCACCTTTGGGCCCTTGAGGGGGGACACTACTGCATGCGCGAGGGAAAGGACACCGACAATATGCTGAACAGTGCAAACGCGAAGCGTCCGCGAGGTGGACGCGCCCCGTTGGTGTCGTGGCATTATCCATGGACGGAGGGGATTGTCACCGCATCACCATTGACAAGGCACAATTGGCAGTCTAGGATCAAAGCAACCTTACCTTACTCAGTGGTGAGTGACCAATCAAAAGAGTCAATTGGAACTTCTCACAGAGAAACATGCTGCCAATGAGAGAACGGGACGCCTGACTCCATCGCTGCCCCTACAAGGTTGCTCACGGAAATTAATCCCTCTTGTGAGTTGCCAGTCTCCAGGTTCCAGTTATCCAGCATGCATCACGGCCTCATCCTGCAACCATACTTACTCTCAAGGGCGTATTCGCAGCATTCTCGTTATGTCCGCCTCATCTCAGTATACCCAGCTTTTCTTGTGCAAAAGAGACAGTGGCTCGGTGTATGTGGGGCAAGAGTCAAGACAAGTGACAATCCTCCCCAACTCTCGCTCTTATCAATTTGTCCCCGTCCCACGCAAGAGGGTCCAGCTTTTGTTTCCTCGCCATGTGCATCTACCCATGCAAGTGCACGACTCAGCCATATCGAGACTGACATAATTTTCAGAATTTATCCGCACTTTGGACACAATATTTCTTGTATTAGTAAAAACACAATCGGATCAAGATATGCTCTATGCTATTCGTGCATATCTAGATTCCAGAAGCATTAAGCTCAGATATAGCCGGGTAATCGTGAAGCGAGCGAGTGTTTTAAGCTTCCCCGTCTTCACAGCAACGGACCACCGAGCACTGTCAACGACGACCCGCCGTCACTGTCCAAAGTCCCGGCCCAGGCGGTGTAACTTCTGATCACGAATATACAGTAAGGTAGGTGATTGTCACTGGTCCCTCCTGTGGCGCACGAACTTTTTGCGATTCTGTACCAAGACGAGGGGACTCACCAGGTTTTTAATAATGATTCCAACTGGGACTCTGGCCCGGATCCCAGAGTTGTTTACAACACTTCCGCTTGCGGTAAGATGGTCAATAAAGTGGCCAAGTTTTATCCCCCGCCCGCTTTCTCTATCCGCTGTATCGTAAATACGGATAGTGCAAGTTGTGCTCATTTTCGAAAACATAGCTCCGCACCTCATCAAATGTTCGACAGGCATGGGATGATGGGAATTGTGGGATAAAATCCACCTGCGCCAGCTGGCACCTTGTTTCTCAAGGTGCAGCCCAGACGCGACCTCGGCCAAGGTACCGGTGAATAACCTTCCACTGAAAGGTTTGCAGTCGGGACATGCCACCCAGCGGCTATGGCACAGAAGCGACGACCAACCACAGTGAGGTTGCAGATGGTGATAAGCGCCGGAAAACCGCCCACGCTGTTTCCTCGTGTTCCCCGCGCACTCTGGAAGTCTCGTGCTGCTGCTGCGACTGGGAATGTTACCAAGTGCGAGTTACTCTGTCAGAACCCATCCGCTGGCAAGAAAAGAATGGAAGCAAAAGGCGACGTAACATCGGGACACAAAACTTTAGCTGTGTTTTGGCGGAGCAGCCTCTTCTACTCTAGGTTACACCCTGTATCTCACCGCCAAAGCTCAGGTGCGATCCTGAGATGACGGTCATTGTGGCCCAGAGGGGCTTATTTCGGACCACTGAAGATGATTGGGAATGCCAACCTCCGCTGATGCCGGTACTGGTGTCTGGGCAGAGAGGTGGTATTTTTTCTTTCCTTTTATTTTTCTTCCTTTTTTTCATCTTGCCAACAGAAGTCAGTGCAGCACGGTGCACCGGATGACAGGGCACGGCGACTCGCCGATGCGGGCCATATCCGTACTTCGTCTCCTTGCTTGCCTACATTTTGCGACGGCGTGTACTCAGGCCGCTGAATGGCCGCCCGTCACTGCAGCAGCAGAGGCCAGTGTCCAAACAAAGTGCTGCAAGTTAGTAGAACTGACATACTTGGACCAGTGATGATAGTGAGCACGGATTCCCTAGTGAGAGAAGACTTTGAGCTTCGTGTTGCTGATGAGCTAGGTATGTCTCAGTTCACCTTGAACTAAGGTACGGTCTGATACCTCTACTCTTTCTGGGCTAATGATGAGTTGGAACTCCGGGGCCACCCTGCTTCACCGAGGTGAGCCCACCTAAACCGTTTACACTTCCTAACCGTACACACTAATAAATGGGAAGATGATCACCGTATCCGTTATGTGCCAATGTCTCCGTTCTCATGAAATTGTCCAGCTGTTCTCTGCAACTCGTCATCAAGGACCCAAGAAGCTGGCTGGACTGACAGGGAACATGGGAACATGGGAACATGGGAACATGGGATCATGGGATCATGGAAGCATGGAAGCATGGAAGCATGGGTGAGGAAAGAATGATGATGGGGGCCCATTGGATTGAATTCAACGCCGTGGATCGTGCGTATCCGTTCTCTCAGTTTCCCTCACAGACATGGCGCGGAGAGCGGGAGCTAATCAGCTCACGAATGGACGCTTCGAGGCTTGGAGGGCTGGGCGGTTCACCACATGGAATACTTCGTGAAAATGCTGGATAACCTACCCATGCTTCGCTGTGTTCCTTCATGTCTGGGGGCTCCGTTCAAAGGACCGTGTTTTCAAGGCTATGGAGGCGCGCTACTTTAAGTGCAAGGGACGTGCTATCAGAACAAATGTTTTTTTTTTTCTCTTTTTCTTGGAGACTGGGAAAGCTGAGCTACCTACCTAGAGCCTGCTTGTTGTTTTCTCCCATCCCTAAGACTGTACGCGGATGCTGCGTGTGTAGGTATCCGTACTTCGTGACTGTCATGTTGGGGGCGTTTCTTTTTCCACGTTCACCCTCACTCTTACCGTGCTTCACTATGAACAAGCATGATGCTCCGCACTCGGCTCCATCTGCCGGTAAGCCATGGTATCCCAAGGTTCAAGTATCCGTACCTCGCCTATATCTTTCCCATTACTTTGGGATCTGGGAACGTATGCTACGCAGTAATTAGTGTGCACGATACCCATATCTCGTTTGCTGAGCTATAGAGCAGTTTCAGTCTTCCCTGCCCTACGTTGGTCACTAATTAGTGCGGTACCATCCGTATGATATGGTAGCCTTACCCCAACGCCGCATCTCGGGCTCTCAGCCCAGGACGCCCTTGACCTTCTAGTCGTTTTCCTTGGTGGCGCCGTCGAGCAAGCGACTGCCCTTGGCCGGGTCATCCAGACCTTGTGCTCGTTCACGGATCAGGGAGCTCCTTGGGGGTGGCCTTGGATCGGGCGTTCCTCCCCCACGGCGGCGGTTTGTTTTGTTTTTCTCGCCAGACTTTGCGAACCACGTCGACGTGGGAAAGGCATAATTAATAATAATAGCTGCTGCTGTCGTGTGTTGCATTTAGCAGCCGTGTGTCAAAAAGGCCTCGACCCCATCGCCATAACGGGTTGGCACTGCTACCCTTCTTCTTCTTGTCCTCCTCCTTATTCCTCTCCTTTTCCTTGCTGGAGATCAGCTGGTGAAGATAAAGGACGTGGTTCGTTCCATTGGAGGACAGCTGGCGCGCATCAGACTCGACAACCCGAACCATCAACCAACCCAGGGACGATCCCATACGACGCAACGGCTATCGAATCGTCCCCCTTTCCTACAAATACACTACTGCGTAGGTATTCCGCGTCGCCCACCGTGTCGGAGTGACTCTAGCCAGTTGGGTCTCCCGCCGCCGCCCCCTGGTTCTCCGGCTCGAGCCAGTCCGGCCGACATTCCACTTACAGACGGGTGCTGCAGCATAGCCGCCATCAACCATTGCCGCGCAAAAGTCTGGCCCAGCTTCCAAGCCCCTGATCTGGCTCGAGTGTCGAGTGTCGAGTCTCGAAAGCAGCCCTGGCCGGCTGGCATTTGATGGTGTCAAGTGTCGAGGCCCAACCTTGCCGCTCATTCGGCCACTCCCACTGCCAATTCTCAGCAGCATCCCATTACTTGTGCAGAGGTCCCCGTTCTGCATACGACGCAACGAGCCCTCGACCGCCTTTTTCGCATCCAGGGCCGGCCCACTTCCGCTTGGGCGAGCAAGAATTGTCGTCGCGCTGTGCTGTCAGGAATCAGAAGTCGGGACCCAAGAGTTGGACCTGCATAAGACCCGGAGTCTCTCTTTCGAACAGAAATCATCCAAAACGTCGGCTTGACTGGCGGCTGGCGACAAAATAGCCGCTTGGCTGGAGACTGACTGTTCTTGCATATCGATTCAGATAGGCAGTCGTGGACGGGGAGCGACCTGTATCTATTTATTGGAAGGGGGAAAGCGAGGTAAGTGGCCGACAACATTTCTTACCTTTCTTGCCTCTCCTGCCTTCCATTCTTACCCGAGGTGCCTTCCAAGTCTAGAATTCGAGGCTTTCGGTTTCCGTAAGTACCTTACCATTCATGACTACCTACTTACCATACCTACCTATCCGTACGGTGTACGGTGTATCTGTACGGATACCTGAGAAGTGAGAGGATTGGAACACCACCTGGTTCTCCTTGTCTTTTCCTGCTTTCCTCTCGGCTCCTGCCTTGGTCTGCTTCCATTCCCACTTGTTCCTCTCCTCCTGCTCTGTGGCCTGCCCTGTCACCCTGTCTAGCTCTTCACCACGGGTATCCTTCACCTGCAAGATACCCTGCACTTGCTGCTTCACCCCGGTCGTTCATTGCGGGCCTGGTATCCGTAGTGTACCTGGCTGTACCTACCTGGCCTAGCTCTCCCCCCCCCCCCCACATACACACACACACACACACACACACACACACACACACGCAAACGCACCTCAATCACCTTGTACTTGCAGGCTTGTAGACCACCAGATGGGAGAAGGGGAGGCTAGAGCTTCTTGTCCACTTCCATGAGGTGGCAGCCAGAGCTCGGAGGTGCCCACCCCAAGGTACCTTAATGTCGTCTGTCCGCCGTCGTGGTGTCTTTTCTGGTCTTCTACTCCTCTTCCTGCGCTCCCGAAATTCTTTCCCTTTCCCCCTTCCTTTTCGCCCTCTGTCTCTCTCCTCCTCCGGCCCTGTGGTCCATCTTTCGTCGTGCTTGCCGACGTCTTTTTCTTGTCTCGTCTTTTCAATTGCATCTCAAGGCCATTTCGCCTGTAATAATCTCACACTCTCATTTATCGTCTCTCGTGACGTCTTTTCTTTGCCTTTTCCCTTGTTCTTCTTCATTGTCACACTCTTTTATACCCATAGTACATTATCTTACACATCTCCGAATCCAGTCAATCACTCACTCATTTCACCAAATCTTGGCCGCCGCGGCTACTCCACACGCAACAACATAAACCACCAACGAAGAATTCCACTCAATCCACGCGCCATCCACCCATCGACGACACTCTCTCAACCAACACACATTCACACACCTGTTAGGTATCTTAATGAAGAAAAGCAGCCTTCTCATGCATTTGGAGCATTTTCATCTGGACCACTCCACTCGAGTCGAAGCAACACGGAACCTCTCAAGCTTAACGACCACATTGGACGTCTTGTACTCGACCAAATCTATTTCGACGGAATCCCCTTCGGAATTTTCGAAATACCACCACGAATTCTGACTGCCCCGAGCTAGAGCTACAACTACAACAGCCAACTACTTCCACACACCCTTCTCCACGGCGCTGCATGACCTCGAGAGCCGGAATTCGCACAATCAAAGCCAACTGTGATTGTTTCTCATCCTACCTTTAATTCGAGATAGCTAGAGCACAGACCGGATCGGTGTCCGTCACCTTCGTCACCCCCAGCTGTGCTGGTCTCGAGTCAGCCGCTCCGAGAATTCCATTGCGCTCGGCCCCCGCCTGCTCCCGCAACCGCCCTATCCCGTTAAGCTTGGGTGCCACTCGCACTCCATGGCTCGGATAACCCACGCCGACAAAGACTACCCGCCTCGACCCTTACGCTTGTCTGCGAAAGCCACCGGTTTCTCCTCCCTCCCGCATCCACCTCACGGAGCATGTCCGGCTCCGGGTCCGGGTCTGGGAGCCCCTCTCGGGGCAGCCCTTCCCGGTCCCAACGGAGGCCGTTGCATGAGCGCTCCAATTCCCAGTCTAATTCCCTAGCCATCCGCATCGTCCCCTACAGCCCGCCTCGTCCAAGCCACAAAAATCGAGACTCAACCGCCTCAGCTTCGTCATCACGCACCCCCACATCGACGACCGCACTGCTATCTCCCAACCCATCAGGCTACGATCACACCAGCTATTCATGGACCGACGACCGCACCGCCAGCCGCGCCAGCGATCGCTACTCCCACAGACGGTCTCACTCTTCCAGCACACGAACCTCAGTGCTATCGCCAGCCTCCTCAACCTTCCCATTGGTGAGCGCCAAGGATAGCGGTGTTTCAGGCTCGAAACTGCGATCCGACTCTTTGCCCGGCGACGAATCGTCCCCCACCACCCCTGTCCCTACCACTCCACCACATCAGACCGATATTTCCCACGTTAATGCACGATCCCGGTCTACCCAACGCAGCGCCGACAATGAGCCTGTCACACCCTCAGCGAAGCGCCCCTTGTCCCGCCGTCGCAATCTCATTACGCTCAACGCCGATGGCAAGACCTTCTCCCTATTGCCTCAGGGGCAGCGGGCCGGAACCCAAGGAGACCACGCCTCTAGCACCGCCCCAAGGTTATCACTTTCGACTACCGCCTCGCATGAGCGCCTTTCAGACGCCTTCAGTGAAAATCGTCCCAGCTCAACCGTGACTTCCTACCCGGATCAAAGCTTCGCTTCCACGTTGACCCCGGCATCCTCGACCACGCAATTAGCAGGTGATTCTATTACCAGCACAGCCGGGTCTTCGTCGTCTCCCTGGAACTATCGAATGGTTGGTGGCCTACGCAAGGTTCCCAACACTCCCGATCTCAAGCAGAAGCAGAAGTCGACGCTACTCTACCCGGAATCCGATCCAGCCTCATCGTACCTGTCATCCCCATCAGGTTCTCGACTCGCGCCGCTGCCAGAGGCGCCAATCGCTGCTGATTCGTCTGAATCCTCCGAGCCCCACGATTTGCAGCCCAAAACCTCCTTTCAGTCATCCGTCACTGCGTCCACGACTTCAGAAAAGACGAACTACAAAGTCTACGGCTCCAATTCTCCCCAAGCGACCGACACCGACAGCGTTTTACATGCGCCATCAACGACCTCCGATACAACAAACTACAAGGTATTCAGTTCCAGCTTACCTTCTTCGCCCGAGCGGGAGGAGTCGTTGCAACCGCCATCCTCGAGCCACTCCAACTACGTAGTCCTTGGCCGGTCTTCGCCTCCAGAACCATCTTCTGCCGAGAGAAGTCCTCCAAAAACGGCCGATAGCGAACAGAATTACGTTGTGCTCGGCGCATCGTCCCCAGCACCATCTTCCGTCGCCTCTAGCCGCCGTTCCCGTATCAGGCCCGAGTATTCCCAGGAAAGCCTTTTGGTGGCTCCGCTGAAACCCTACAAGGCGAAGAAGAGGACCAACGAAAGGTTTGGATACTACAAGTCGCGTTCGAGGGATTCCTTGCGTCGTGCAGCGTCGGTGAAGTCGATTTCCGGCTCGCTCACTCTCGAAGCAGCCCAGAGTTTCCTCGCCTCGCCTGCTGCGTTCTATCGATCCCGTGTTCTGGCCAGCCAGCCAGGTCGGCAGCCTGACGCGCAAGCTGCGCCAACGGAACCCGCCCCCATTTCTGTTCCTGCTGAATCCCATATGACCACTCATCCTCACCAATGGAGCTCACAACTATCCACCGTGATTTCGGAGAGTGAGGGGGACAGCGAGCCTCCATCACGTTCCGTGTCCCCATGGTCTGTACCTGGGAGACGGGGTAGCATACCGTTGAGCAGCCATAGCCGGCAGATGCTTAGCATTTCGTCGTCGCTAGCTGCAAATGAGGAGCGCTCACTCTCTCACTCAAGATCCTTCACGGACTCTCTGGAACGCCCTCAAGCTACACACAGTAGAGGGAATACGCTTCGCATGGTCAGCGATCGAGACGAACATGGCGACGGTCTGGCAGAGCTGAACCAGCTACATCAACGGCCTTCGCGGACCGGCCTTTCAAGCTTCTTCTCGAGTTCCTCGTCAGACCGGAACCTTCACTCCTCCAGTAGCTCCCGTGCGAACAGTCTGAACTCGGCGTCCATTCCCGCTTGGGCCAAGTAAGTCGACCCGATGTCCTGCAGGAAGCATTATGATACCGGTAATTGGACCTCAAGCTAACATAGTCGCCTACCTGTAGATTCTACTACGGAAGCGGAGAACGTCGATTCCTTGCCAGCTCTGGAGACTCAATTATGTCAGATCCGAACGATAGCCGGCCACCAAGCTCATTCCAAAGCCGTTCCCCCAGCGTTGAACAGCTTGCCATGAACATCTATAGCCCCAGGCGACGGCCTAGGGAGGTAAACCTTGCCAACCCTCGGCCACTGTCAGATGTCGGCTCCATGGAAATCAGCCAAGCACCGTTCACAGACAACCGAATGCGCAGCGGGTTAAGGAAGAAGACATCCAGCATCTGGTCACCCCACTTGCGGCGTGATCAGAGGGCTGGTCGTCACAGCATCTGGGAACCACCTTCTATGACGTGGTCAGCCGAGACGAGCATGCTGGGGAAGCGAAACGTGCAGGTTGCTTTCTTCGCTCTGGGATTCATCTTCCCATTCGGTGAGACACTCCTACTCAACGGCACTGTATTGACACAAGGCTAATCTGAGCCAGCATGGATGATTGCTGCCTTCCTTCCGCTACCCCCGGACCCTCAAGCTGAGATGGCCGAGCGCGACCCACGATCAAGCCTGTTGGACGAAGAACGAGACCTTCCTCGGCGAGTTGCAGCGGTTGACGAGACTCTTTTCCAAAGCGCCCGTTGGTGGCGTGCTCTTAATCGGTACATGTCCGTCATTGGTCTTCTAGTCGTTGGCGCCATTGCGGCTCTCGTTGTCGTCGGCGTAAAGCAAGGCTGGGGCCAAATGGTGTAGCTGCCTACTCCATGCCGCCTCCTTTCTGATTGTATGCACCACCTCAAATAAAGGGATATGGTGCCCGAACACGCCGCGGTACACAGCTTTCGGCCCCAGCAACAAACGAGTATTCACCAAAAGCATCATCGGCCGTTGAAATCCAGCGCATCGGCAGCACGATTGGGGTAACGACTTAATCCCTTCACGAATCTACGACATCATTTATTCTTTTTCTCATATAGACATGCACATACCAAGTTTTCTCGGCGGCCGACCATCTGGCCATTTCTATCATCTAGTCTAATGGCTCCGCACAACGACGACGGTTGCTAGCCATGCAGTTCGCTGTAATTGTACACCTGGCCAGACTGGGCCATACCCTTGATGACAACATGATGGCATTTCCTTCTGATTTTCTCTCGTTGGGCGACTTGGATTGCTTGACGATACCCCCCTTGGCTTTACACGGGAGTCAAACATGCTAGGACTGGTGTTGGGTGATTGGAGACGACTGAGCCAGACAGTGGCATCACGTTACTATTGTGGGATATAGACATCATATTATAATGGTTTAGTTTTAGATCTGCATAGCCTGAAATGTCTAATGACCTGCCCTTGTAGGGCAGCTTGCAACCCAACGCCTCGCCCATTTCGCGACTTTGACAACGGCTCTAGGGCCATTAACGCTGTTTTCATGTATGCAGGAACAAAGG